CTTGTATATTGGTCCCCGGATAGGTTCCAGTTAGCGTTTCCCTACCCCCCTACAATCTTAGTTTAAAACCCTATCTAATAGATTGGCCATCCTGGCTGAGAAAAGGGACTTACCTTTCCACAGTATGGACAATGTTTACTGAGATGCTCTGGAGAAATGGATAATAAAAGGTGCAGTGCAGTGAACGAAGGGTTTACAGTCACACAGAGGTCCCCTTCACCTCTTCCCACCTGGCAGGATGTCCCAAAAAGTAATCAGACAAGGCTTTCCCAATCAGAATAGCCTGCCAGTAGTTCTGTCCAGACTGCCCTGCCAGGACTACTGCTTCAGTCCAGTAACCATCCATAGTGCTAAGGGTTTCCCCCACCGTGGGTCCATTTGGAGTTGAAAGGCTTCACCCCTCCCCTCATTTATTGTGGAAGATGTACACAGTTGCCACAAAACTGGGAATGTTCCTCAGCCCAAGTTCATGAAGGACCCCGCTGGGGACCGCCAGTGTGCCTTTAGGTGCCCAAAGACACATTCCACCACCATTTGGCAGCTGCTTACCTGGCAACTGAAGAACTCCTTCCTGGAGTCCAGCCAGCTGGTGTATTGGCTTCATGATTCAGGGGAGCAATAGATGGCTGGGTCCCTGATGATCAAGGAAGGGAACGGTCAGCCCACTCATATTGATAGCGGGAGTACAGGGGGGGAAAATCCTCCTACTCCATCGTCTCTGGGAAACTGGATTTCCCAACTATGAAGGCATCAGTACCCTTTCCAATCACCCAGCACTGATATTAGTGAAGGACCTCCAGTGGTCCACAACTTTCTGGAGCAGAACTGAAAAGAACCCCTTATGGTTTAATCTGAGGCATAGCGATGGGGGCACAGAATAAGCATGTGGGTCCCATTGAAGGCCTCTTGAACTCCATGGAGGGTAATTTGATCAAACTCCGTGATGACCTCATGCAGGTCCCTGAGCCCAATGGACTGAGGCCCCAGCTCTTCAAGTAAAGCATCATATACTTCATGCAAAGCCGTCATTGCCATTGTCCATCCCACACAGAGCTGGTTGGCAATGGAACAGAGGCTGCTGGTGTGCACAGACTTCCAAACCAACAGGACATGTGTCTCTTGATGCACGCAGGGTGCCAAAGCCCAACATCATTCAGTTGCAGTAGTGGAACTAGCTTGGCGTAAAGGTCCATGAATGAGCCACAGGACATTCTAAATTTCCTCTGCCTCTGATCATCATCCCAGGTTTTTAGCATGAGCTATTCACATCAATCCAAGCTCTGGTATTGCCCAGCAGTGTCAAGATGTCATCCAGTATGGAGCCCATAATGCTGCAGCTTTCAGTGTCATGTTGTACCACCTACACGTTGACCAGTATGATGTTCGTGACAATATTACATTCCCCAAAGTATCACCTCCTAGGGCAAGGAGCTAACAGCACTGAAGTATGGAGATCATGTGGATTAGAGCAGCCAGGGCAAGGATTTACTCAATTCTGCCACTCACCACCTCCAGGAAGCCAGCTGGGATAGTCAGTCAGGGAGGGATTGGAGATCCCATGCCTAGCCCAGGAGGCATTGGAATTTGCTTCTTCAGCAAGACAGCCAGCTAACCAGTGTTTTCCTTAGTTCTCATCAGAAATATGCAAAAAAAGGGACCCTGCAAAGCATGCTGGGATGCCTGCCTGCTCACCAGCCCTTCAGCAGCAGAGCACAAGCTATGTATGCCAGAGATCATAGTATATATTATTGTGCGACAAGTTCTAACTTGAATACCGCATAATGTTCCACAGATTTAACATGTACTTTGTGTCCCACGAGACAAGGCCCTTAGTGGGTAGATGAAGGTGAACCTTGATGATGCCAACACTATTAATGCTTTCTTTGATTTCTTTGCTGACAGCTTTACAAGAAATACCCAGCTAATGTGTTTGTCTCACAATTAATCCTGGACAACTCCCACTCCTCTTTTACAGAAACATCCTGCTTTATCTGACAGCTTCTACCATGCAGTAATGTATAATAAATAAAATTAAAAAAATAACTGGCATGATGAAAGGAAAATGTAGGAACAGCATGGAACCACCTGAAGACAAAAGTCAAAATAAAGAATATGAGGGACACTGTGTGTATTGTGTTTTGCATTGTCATATTCAATTATATTGAGGAACTTCAAGTTAAGAAAAAAACCCTGAAAAAACAAAAATGAAATGAATCTGCGACAGAATTTCCAGCCTGCTGATAGGAAAGTCTCTATACAGTAATGGGCCTGGACACAATTTATGCCTATCCTGTCACAGAGTGCACAGGGGACCACAACTATATAACCAGGCCTGCAATAACAAGCCTATGTGTACCGTCCAGTTCTTGATAGCTGTCCTACGATAAAAGTATTTGCAGCCTAATACTCAGGGGCAGCTCTACAATACCAAAGTTGTTTGTACAGCCTGGAATAGACTCTGCACAGGCAAGTGAGTCTACTGCATCTTGCTAACTGAAAGTAGCCCTATAAAAAAATAATCAGTGCCCACAGCCTAGTGCTTATAAAAGCAACCCTTTCCTAGCACACTAGTCAGTAGAGCCCCAAACATATGAGCAATCTGGTAAGAAACCAACATACACAGCCCAGCATAGCTGCTTACTCTCTAATATCAAAAAAACAGTTTGGTTTCTGTAGTATGCTTCCAAGGGTCGATTCATAACTAGTGAGCATTAAATTACAGGGGCACATCCTCCATGGTGTAAACCAGTGTAGTACCACTGACTTCAATGGAGCAATGCTAATTTACACTATGGGAAGATCTGGTCCATCATTGTTTATACAATATATACAACACCTTTTCAGCCAATTAATCCTTTTCACAGTCTTTAAACATGCAAATTGCTACTGTAAAACAGTAATGACCATTTGTACCATTTTAACCAGAGCTGGCATCAATATCTAATCTTTTGAATAAACTCATTAGGATCCCACTTACTACAGGAGAGAGAGGGAACAATTTCATCCCTAGGGAAGGGTTTTTTTTGATAGATCCATTACCTTTTTGTCGCTCAAGCCAGACACCTGATCCACATATTCCTCTTGGATCATGAAGGCAGCCAGGTTGGCAGTGTAGCTGGCCAGGAAGATGACAGCAAAAAAGGCCCACACAGACACCATGATCTTGCTAGTGGTACCTTTGGGATTCTGCACAGGCACAGAGTTGTTGAACACCAGACCCCACAGCAACCAGATAGCTTTGCCAATGGTGAAAGAGGGACCACCGGGCTCTAGAATGACCAAGAAACAGGTAATGAAAACCTTGGGACAAGCTGTCTATGTTTCTCTTTACTCATGCAACCTGACTTCTGAATTAATATCACCATCTGTTCCCACATCTGTAACGAACACCTGCAGCAACACTTACATGTGTGCAGCCGCATTAAAGTACAGTATTACTCTGAAAAGTGAAAAGCAGCATAGACACCCACACATATTGTGCCTCAAAGACTTCCTCAGAAACTTTGTATACTTGTCAAGAGAAAGGTACTTTGGCTGACTCCCCCTGGTATCTCAGAGTCAGTCTGTTCCTATTTGGTTCATGCATGATGACCCTGGTAATAAAGATTTTTCCAGACAAATCCTAACCTCGCTTAACAGCACTGTCCTCCAACTGCATTGTCCTTACAGACACCTGTGTGAGCTATCATCCTCAGTGGGCTTACACAGGTATAACTATATAATTTGAAGGACTGAACCACAAATGGAGTTCACTTAACCTTCTTCCTAGGGCTGCCAAGTAATCACAGTTAACGTGAGTGATTAACACATTAATTGGTTCTTGCATTATTTTTTGTAATGAATTAATCACGCATGTGGCTTTGGAACCTGCACCCAGGCACTGCTCCACTGCCATCACTGTCACCTCTGAGCCACTCAGCTGGGCAGCAGTGGCAGTGCAGAGGAGGCACAGGGCAGCCCGGGCACGGGCCCTGGGCAGCTGCAGCAGGGGAGTGCACAGACACAAATGAGTAGCCACAGCATGCATGCAGCCAAGAATGCAGCCTGGTGGCATGTAGAGCAGCATCCTGCAGGTAAGTCTGTGGAGGGGGAGAGGCATGGGGGAGGGAAGAGGCAGGGGGGCAGATTGAGGCCCCCATGGTGAGGGAGGGAGTGGGACAGGGGCAGGGGATGGGGCAGGTCATGAGACAGAGCTGTGGGAAGCTGCATAATTTTGAGTTTTTCTATGCATTATTTGGAGTTTTTAGCTGTGCAATTAAAATCGCAATTAATTGTGACTAATTTTTTTTAATCAGGCAACTAATCACATTCAAATTTTTTAATAATTTGATAGCCCTACTTTCTGCTGGTCATGCATACACCAGAAAAGAATCCGTTTGCTTTTGCCAAGCTATCCTGGCTCTGATCAGTGAACAACTTTAAAGAATAGTTCACTGATTTTTTCTCTTCTCAGAAAAATCAAAAGCTCCAACTCTGAATCTGACATGGACAGAGCAGATCTGCTGTTTAAGTAGGCATTAGTTTTATATATTCACTTTTCAGAGCATATATTCACTCCTTCTAGCAATAATAAATGTGTATGTTAATGTAGTGCTCGACTAAGAAACCCACGTGAAAATGTAAGGTTGCTCAAGCATAATTTGCTGCATATGCTGGACCCATTAGCAGAAATTCTGAGGGGCACACTGGAGCCCACCTCACTTCAGAATGCAAACTGGGAAAGACATTAAATTTGCAATTACTCCAAGTAATCTTTGGAGGATCTGAAGAAGCAGAGCATGCTTTCCTAGGGTACATCCTATGAACCTACCAGCTCTACTCTGCTAACTGGCATGCAAATTCCTTTGGGAATACTCCTGTTAGCTGTGGTATTACACTTGACTGGCTTACTGGGACTGACTGGTAGGGGAGTCCCATTGAAAGAAGGCTTCTTGCAGCTCCCTTCCTGCAAAAACTGGGTTAGCCAAAACCTACCCCTTGGGGATCAACTGTAACTTTTACTGTTATTATAAATGTAACTTTTATGCCCAACAAATCTATATCTGTCTTGAGCTGTGCATACAACTGACTTCAAAGCTGATCCATTATATAGTAAAACTGTATCTTCAACTGGCAATGGAAACTATTTAAAGTTATTATGAGGAACACAGATTGTTTGTTTTAGTGCTTATAACTGTAAGGTTAAAATCACACTAGTCGGGGCTTTTGCACTGCATTCATTCATTTTTAGGACCAAAATGGAAAGAAAGATTAAAGGTAAGATTTGTAAAATGACCTCATGACTCACAAGTGCAAGTCCCATGTAGCGTCAGTTATGGACTTTTTAAAATTCTGACCTAAAACACTCCTCATTCAACTGACTTCACTGGAGACATTGATAATTGCATTATCAATCACAGAATAATACAAGGATAGAGTTCCCAAAGAAATTCCAGCTCATTATTTGCTTCCAAGAAAACACTACAATATATCCATCTGCCTTCCATAGCCACACTGTTACTCACATCTGTACCTATATGTCTGAGCAATGTCATGATATCTACAAGTCCCAAAAATATTAATATTTGCATCTAGCCTTAAAGCTAATTTAAAATATTTATCTGACTTCACCTTTATATTATTATCTGCTGCTTTTACACATCTGTATTGATAATTCACATTAGGTTCATAGCTACATTAATATTTACTTCTGTCCATAGATCTGTTTAGATATGGGCATTTGCCTACACGTACTGTTCACAGGTCAGTTATTAGAGAAGGCTCCACCAGCATTACTGTATTTAAGACTCTGTCAGTATTTCCATAACAAATTCCTTTTCTTCAGTGTTCTCTAGCTTGGTATAAATCTGCTCAAGGCAATAGGTTGGAAAGCAAGTGAATGTATTTTCAAGCAAACAGTTCTATTCAACCATTTTAAAATTGCCAGCACGCTGACAGAACAAAAAAGCCTTATGTTGGGAACTATTTCATAATAGAGTCAAGTTAAAGAAAGAGAAACAACTTTAACTGCTGAGTGTCCAGCCTCTGCTAATGCTGTATAGTCCTTCTCTCTAACTCATCTTGCCTTCTCCCAAGGGAAGAGATTTCTGAGCACCACTGAGTGAACTCAAGCTTCCCTTTCTTATTCCTTCATACCCTTAACAAACAACTCCCATTCATCCCCAAGAAAACTCATGTTTCACTTTTCCAGTCATCTCAACCTCTGGAGAGTCAAAGAGCATTACAATTAAAATGGGTGGAGGAGCATCCAGAGCTAACATCCTAAGTTTGGAGGATGGAAGAATATAATAGGGGAGAGACTCCTCTCTCTCATGGCTTTTAATCTTTACTTTTCTCTAGTGAAATTTAGCATTGCTGAAAGGTGGACTGACAGTGAAAAGCTACAAATTATCCCCAGAAAAGCACAACACAGGCAGTACCAATGCAAGCATTCGGAATCCATTTCCTTGTAAGTTAAAGTGGATAGGAGCTAGCACTGTGTAGATTAACGGCTCCACATCACAGCCTCCTGAGCCAAGCAAATTATCCATTACGCACATCTGTTATGTTCAGAGTCATTTTTCCACCTCCCTCCCTTCCCTTTTTAGACAGAACATGGAGATTGGATTGGGCTGGAACCATGTCATGTATAGGGGGAAAAGGAAATTCCATGGACGAAAGAGCCGGAATTACAAGGGAAAGGGGTTGGCAATGAATAAAGGCTCTTCTTACCTCTGCCATCAGCAAGGCACCGATTGTAACCCACGGGGCTGAAGTACTCAAAAACAAAAACAGCCACTGCAGAGATTATGAGCAGCATCACAAACATCATCACCCACACATCAGCACTGAATGGCTCTGGAAAAAAGAAAAAACAGGGTGAAAGGTCAAATACAGCCCAGATTGCTTATCAGGTCACCCTACAGGGTTCTAATCAAGGGTAGGGGAACAGGTTTGGGTAGAACAAGAAGTGACTCCCAGCATTCACCCCCAAGTTAAAACTGAGCCTCAAAGCTCCAGTGACTGGAAAACGTTTAGTTCACATTTCATTACAAAACTATTTTTTATTCGTACGCTGGTATCTGGAATCAGACAGGCATTGTAAATCTCAGTGAATAAAGGCTACACCCATGAAGCCCTTCCAGCTAGTTTGCAAGATTAAACAAGTCTGGATAAGGCTCACAGGGGATTCTGAATTGTGGGGTGCCTTCCAGAATCAAACTGTACCCCTCTAAAGCCTTTGAGACTTAGCTACAATTATGATATTTTTAACAGTAGTATCATCTTTGCAATGAAGAATGCCAGAGCATACTAAAAATATGCTGGCTCCTGCCCTTCTCTAAATCTGAAGGGCAATGATAAGGCCGAACTAACTGAGATAAAATAAAAACCTGGTCCAAACTACAGCCAAAATTTGAATCCAAATCTCCTGGTAGATCATAAACATAAATTAATCTTGTTGCAGCTCCTGTTTTATATTTCCCAGTGATACTTCAGGACCTGACCAAAGCCAGAAAATACTGAAAAACATGATCTGATGAGAATCCCAGCTCAGAGAGGCTTAGATAATGTCATTTACCCATATAAAGTTCTTCCTGAACTTAAAAACATACAGGATCCCAGGGTGAGGGAGCAGACTATTGTTCTACAGCTCACCTTTTACACTTGACATCTCTGCAAACATCTTATAAAAGCAAAATGTACTAGGTATGCAGAGAAGGCTTGGAGAAATGCAGCAGCACATCTGCACTTATAGATCACTCTCAACTATCTAGGGATGCTAGAACCTCTTTTACTGGAGGTTAGCCTGACAAAAGACGTCATGCCGTAATCTCTTTCATAGCTGCTGTTAGATATTTAGCTTCCACCACACAGTGCCGAGGGGAGCTCAGGTTAATGTGCCTTCTAATGGATGACATCTCTAAAGGTTTAGCATCCTCTTGTCTCTCCGGGTATGTCTGTACCTTTCTGCAGTGCTCAGAAAGCCAGCCCTACCCAGCCACTTCCACCCTACGCACTCCAACCCCGGAAATAAGGCGATGAAACTACCTAGAACATGGCCTCTAACACCACTCATGATCTCTTGCTCCAGCATGTTTGAAAAAGGAGCAACAGACAGGGACACCCTCCAAGCAATTTCACTGCCTCATTTCCAGGACTGGTATATGTAGAAACAGAGGAGGGGGCAAGAGTACTTCAGCAGTGGTTTGACCAGTGCCGTGGAAGTGGTACAGGCATGCCCATTGTGTTATCACTAACTTTAAATGCAAGTCCTGTTCTAACACCTGAACTAATTTTTCTAATGGTCCAGCCCTCTTGAAAATGCCACTAGCCAAGCCACAGTGAAGCCATACTCTGTGAGTGGAGGATGGCTCTATGTAATATTGACCTTAGGCTGAAAGGTCACTGAGAAATACCCTGGAACCTCTGGACTTTGTCTTTATGTTTTTTGTCTAGATTTTGCTCATTTGAGGTTTAGAAATAAAACACCGCCAATTTTAAAATGTCCTTACTTGACATGCCCTACTTAGGAATCTCCCAAAGTCTCACAAGGACTGTTTGGCTAAGTGTTAATGATGTTAGTCTCTTCCTTGCCACCACCTTAGGAAAAGCATACCTACCTAGAAAGGCAGAAGGTGAGACAGTTCCATTGCTACGTGACACCATGACGCTGATTCCTGTCTCAATGAAGGGCACGGAGAAGTCCACTACTTCTGACCGCTCCTCATTTATGGTGAGGGAACCCACCGCCATGTAGGCACGCTTCGTGACCACCTGACACAAGGGAAAAGAAAAGCAGTTAGAGATGCTTCCAAGCCTGGCCTCCTTGGGCATCACAGGTAAATACACCATCATCCTTTGCTCCCATCTGCCCATACAGCCCTCTTCTCCTGGAATCCTCTTCCTGCCCTCTCTCCTCTTCTAATCCCTCTCTTCTTCCAAGAAATTTGTAAATATTAAACTTCCCCACAAAGAATGTATGTACATGCACTTTAAGTACACCTCTGCAGCTCTCAGGATAAATGCATCACTAAACCAGAAGACATGTTATCTTATTTCTGTTGTCCTTAGGCCCACCACTTAAAGGTCTTTCACCATATCCTGGATATCTTGCCTAAATTTCAACTGTAACCTCATGGTATCACCTTTAATTTGATTGTAAAGTGTCACACAGATTAGGGAAACAGTAGGCAATGATAAATAATGATAAAGGAGTGCTACTGTTCAGCAGTGAGATTACTAGAGGGGATTCTTTCACCCAAGCCCTATAATATCTGGGTTTGGATCACTTATTTCTGTGAGTTCTCATCAGTGCCTCCCAAAGGGAGGCTATCAGAACTGGAAGTACGCTTTGACTCCGCAGCACAGCCTTTGGGTGAAGCGCAGCCCTGCCCTTCGCTGCTGACCTCTCCAATCATTCCATTCCACGTCCCATTGATCTTCTTCCCATGCTTGCCATTAGTCACCAGGTAGAGATCATAAGTGAACTTGACA